TGAAATGAAGATATCGACTGTGACAACTCAGAGAACACAACTGTATCAAAAACCAATGATTACTTAAATACTACCTAGAAGAAGGATCAAACGACTTCGGTGTATTTATCATCACGACAAAACATGGACTAGAAGGCAACGCCGCTATAATATGCACAATCCTCTCCTTCTTTCTTTCTTTCCTCCATGAAAATAAACTGTGAATTCTCTACAAAATTTATTATATTATTCAGTAGCGAAATTAATTTGAGCAATAAAACAGTGAGAAAAAATTTTAACAGAACAAATAAAGACCAATGATTCATCACACACGAACACACACAAACTAATATTGCTTATTACTTATTATCTATTTTATTCCTCTACGTTTCCAATGGAACATAGAACTTCAAGTTAGAGCCCTGAAGTTTCGGTGAAGGTGGTTTTATATTTTTTTATATGAGGTGGGGTTGCTGCTAGCTAGCCTCCCACCTAACCTTTTCCCTCCTAACCAACCAACCTTACCACCGGTGCTTATAATACGGCTTAGGAGTGAGTCTGTGGCTTGGGATCGAACAACCCTGGACCATGTGAGGCATGGTGGTCGGCGAGCGTTCTACCGCTGAACCACCGATACCTATGATGTAGTCAAATGGTGCGTATTACGCGCACATACACACGCATACACAGAGTAGAAAGCAACACTACTGAAAGTTATGAAAATTAGACTTGATTTTCAAGTATCGGTAAGTTCAAAAGGTACTGAAACCATTAAAAAAGAAACAAAATTTCATTAAGAAATTAACCGTATTCTATTTAACTAAATTATTAAAGAGATAGAAAGAATTATAAACAGCTGTTGCGGAACCTGTATATGCCTAGCTATTACCGAAGGAAAACTATGATAAATTGTTGCCACTAGCTACTTGGTAAAATAACCTCTGTGTGTGTGTGTGTGTGTGCGTAATATGTAAAATGCTGTTTTGTGAAACCAGTTTTTTTTATTCCTTTACGTTCCCAGTGGTGGGACATAGGGCTTCAGGCTAGAGGCTTGAAGTCTCGGTAGCAGTGATGTTTATTTTTACGGGATGGAGTTGCTAACCTCATTCCCAACCTTCTCTCTTTACAAGTCTTATTCCTGTCTTACCGAGATAAAGGAGTGTGTCTGTTGCCGGGGATCCAATCCCGGACCACCTGTGTGGTTGGTGAGCACTCTACCGCTGTGCCACCGACACACTGTGAAATAAGTGTGATTGATTATCTTTGGTTAAGTGAAATCTCACCTCATAGACTGAATATTCACTGGCTGATATTGAACATGAAGTATATCAAGCTCGGTTGTACCAGCTATTTTCTTACTTTACACATGTGAGAGATTATACTAACGGGATTAACACTACCAATAAGGTAATGTTAGTAATTATCACCTCTCCGCCAGTCTTTGTACTGTAAATAATGATCCACTGTTTAGTATGATGTTTGAAATATGCTCATCTAGTGTACAATATAGTCTTCTAATTAAAGGTGCCAATTGCACGGGAATGTAGTGGTCTGCAGTTTCATTCCTGGCCAACACACTTCTAAACCTCAAGTAGTTTTCAAGTGTTAGCTTGTAGAGATTTGATTGGTGTCAAGCTAAATCGACTAGTTTATAAGCCCGGAAAGGAAGGGTTAAACGTGAGGTGGGTAACCCCAACCCAGAAGATTTATTTTTTATATGTTATTCCTTCACGTTCCCAGTGGAACATAAGGCTTGAAGTTTCGGTAGCTGTGGTGTTTCTTTTAAGGGGTGGGGTTGCTAGCTTTCTGCCCGGTCTTCCATCTTTACCTCTCTAATAAGCGACTTAGCGAGGTTTATGGAGTGCTTCTGTGCCCGGGAATCGAACCCCAGACTACATGCGTTCTTGGCGAGCATTCTCCCACTAAGCCACCGATAATACGTCTATTGAAACTCTAAGGCCTAAATCCTGAATTTGTATCTTCCACTAGGGAACTTCAGGGAAGAAAAACAACAACAAACAGAGCTAAGTGGAATTACAAGAGACTGCTACGTATTTGAAACAAAAGGTGCGCACGCTTAGCTAATTATTCCTAGTAGGGAAAGCCTCCTCCCACCAGCACCACTGGCTGACTGATCCTCAACAATTAATAATATCGATCTTATCTCCCCTCTCTCCATTGTTCAGTTATCATGCATAATTAAAACAGAGGAAGAAGAGATGATCACATTGAAATTTTCCTCGAAAAATACACAACAACAACAAAGCAACAAACGCAACAACACACAAAAATGTAACTCCTCGAAACACAAACAAACAGGACAACCACAAAATATAGAGCGTTCTTATAATTCATTGTCACTTTTAATAGGCAAATTAATCTAATGCAAAGCAAATAATAAACTGTAACAAAAAAAGAATCAAATATTATTCGAAATAAGGCGGGACAGCGATGTCATTTTGTATAAAGCAAAAAAAGACGACAACAACAACAACAGCAAGAAAAATGGTGATCAATGGAGTAGAGTGGATGGAGGAGTGTGTTAGAGAGTAAACCCCGCAATCGTTAAATATTCAGGTGTAGTAGGTGAGATTGTTAAGATTGTTAAACCTTGGGAATGATAGTTAGGTTGAGCGAATAGAGAGACAAAAGTAGAAAGACAAGAAACGCACTCGCTAGCTCGTCCGCACGCACGCACGCACGCACACACACACAGACACGTCAAAAACTGGATGAATTTTATTGATTCCGGTAACATAAATAGTAATCATAACAATAATAATAATAATCATAGATGAGGTGATAGACAATGAATAACAGCAAAATACTTCACATAGCTAGTTGTTCAGATTGTGGCGAAAACAGCACAGATCTGAAGACGATCTCACAGCATCAACTAACACGTTGATATCTTTCACATTCTCTTAAGGGATGACAGCAAATGTAAGTAGTAGTAAACTAGGCAAAATTGTAACAATCATAAATGAAAGTCCATATTATTTATTGTATATTAGATATATCACGCACACACACACACACACACAGAGTAAAACAGTATCACTGTTTACTGGATAACGAGGTTTCGATCACAATTTATTATTGTTCATAATCATATTATCACTTATAACCACACAACTTTGAGAATTTTGTTTAATAGTTTCCTTTATTCCAGCCTATTCATCGTAGACGGGTGGGTGGTAGAACTTTCCAGATGTCCGACTGGAAAGGTATGCAATCACTCGAAGATGAATGAAGCCCCACGTTATCAATCTCTCCCCCAGTCGTCTATCCTGGGAGCTAATTATGGTGAAATTTTTCTCCGAGATTGTTTCACTTATCATTTGCCTTTCGCCACCTGTTTCCCTGATAAGCCTGAATAGTTGTCTGGTGTTGCCAATCGCCGATGCCTTTTCCATCGATTAGCTGTCTTTGATCATAGGTGTCTGCGGTCTATCTCCCGTGTAAAGCGGTATAATACGGTGAGCAATAGTGAGGTTAGGCGTCGAGTGCTAGGTAGGTGGGAGGGGAAATCAATCGACGAGGCTGTGAAATTACATCGACTGAGATGGTTAGGACATGTGTTACAGGTGCCTAGTCGTCGCCTTCCTCGACAATGGGCAATGTTAGCTGATATAGGGTCAGGCTGGAAAACAGCTAGCGGCGGTCAAACCAAAACATGGCACCAGTCAATGAAATCCACAACAGTTAGTCTAAGCCACTTAGGAAGGTGTAGACTGGCTTACTGGTTGGGGTCCTCGGGACAGTAAAAACCAATGGTTGGAAACAATTGGTGACATGACTCAAAATCGTTCTCAGTGGCGCAGATGCATCCACTCCTTGTGACTTATGATTTCCAGTTAAACTGTTTTGTTCTTCGTTATTACTATTCCTTTGTCTTACACTTCTGTTTACTGTCTATATTATGCATTTCTCCTACTTTTTTCTCTTGCTTTGTGTGCTTCATGGAGTGTGGCGACTCGAACTGCCGCACATATGTGCAAAGTTCTATGTCGAAAACAGACAGACAGACTCTCCCCCTCCATCACCCTGTTATATTAGATTGTTCAACTGTCATCTAATTCCATCCGATTGTATAGTATGCGTGTGTGCGTGTATGCAACTGCATGTAGTGCTATCATCTATGGCTAAACTATTCTCCAGATTTCTTATCTTATGGTCGACTAACCTAGTTTCTGTTAGGTTTTTGTGCCCCATTAGTCTGACTGACTCCGTTCTACAGCTTTGATGTGTGTATTTGACCTGACAATCACTGCAGGCAGCATCTTAGATAAATTAAACTGCTTTGTTTAATAGACTTTACAGAATCCTTTAACCGACAAAGCTTGTTTGTAATTGAGTTTGTGGATGGTTTGAATACCAGCCATTTTTATTCCTGTATTGTTAAGAACTCTCCGTAAGATTTCTGAGGTTCCTTCTTTGTATGGTAGTAATACTGATGATTTAGATTCCTCATTGTTGGTGTTGTTATTATCCTGTGCACGTTTGAAATGCATGTCCCGGAAATCTGGAAAATAAATTCTACTACCCACCGCTACGACGAATAGGCAGGGGATAAAAGAAACTGTGTAAGACTCAAATTTCAAAGTTGTGTGGTTATAATGGATTTGTGTGATTTGTGTTCGAAACCCTGTTTTACTGTGTGTGTGATATATCTAATAAACAAAATAATTATGGCATTACATACACTACCACAATGACCAAGTTTTACACACTGGCGTAACAGAATGCCACCACCTAAAACAGACTTCGAAAGAAATCTCAATCTATTCACATCAACAGCTGAGTATACATACACACACCATCAAACTAATTAGAGATTGTGTGTTGATAAATCTCTCTAATTCTATCCCACCATGGACAAAACTGTTGCTTTTTTTCTGAGAGCAGAAAGCAAAATTTCAGAGATTTTAAAAACCAAAACAAAATAAAAGCAAAGCCAAATGATGAGCCATTTGAGCGCATGTTTCTGAGTGTGTGAGTGTATGGAAGTAAAAACTTACTTGCTAGAATTCAGTGAACTAAAGAAAAGAATATAACATTGGGAATAAGTTACTCATGTTGATTTTTCAACACTTAATTAAATCAATAAATGAACAAAATGTTTTGATTTTAACAACTTCCACTAGGCTGAGGGGTTTAATGGACTTTTTTCTGTACATGCAGAGATCTGGTTCGTCTATTTCGATGGTCAAAGATGGCTTCAGCAATTCAGATGAGTCAGATGAATATGTAATGATTTTGGGCAAAATTACTTTTCGCCGTGTAGACAACTTTAAGAACCGAGGCTGTAGAGAGAGATAGGGTGATCATTATCGACCAGATGTTCAATGATCTTGCTTCTTATAGCTCCATTTCCAAATCACATTCAAAATCAATATTATTTTGCAACGTTAAATTCTATATGTTATCAAATTTCCCACAGTATTACGTAATGTCTTGACTTCTTAAAGACACATACAATGCTAAATAAATGATGGTATGAGATGATAATAGATTTGGGTCGGAGACTAGGTATTAATGAAATGCCTAAAAAATCGTCAGATTGTCCCCACTCCTTTGCCAAAAAATAATCGCTATCCAGATTCACAAAAAGATAAACAGCTTTAAAAAAGAAGCAGAAGGAAACTGTGACACACGCACACATACACGCAAACATGTACACACAAAAAAGAGAGGAAAACGAGACAAAAACCATAAGGCTTACGGATTTTCTTCAGTGTATGGTACAGCTTGATTCAATTTGATCGGTTGTTCAAAATTGGTTGTATTATCAGTGTTAAACGGAGCAGATGCTTTGTCAGTAGATTTGATTGGTGAATTCTCACTACTAGTTGTAGATGGATTAGCAGTGATGCAGCTATAAAAACAAAATCAATGAAATAAATTATTATATATAAGGTAAGTATAATTATAATTATTACTATTATAAAAATGTTGTCACAGCAACATTTAGAAATATTGCTATCTTTGAAGAAGCATTAAAGATAGGACTTCAGGTGAACATAGAGAAAACAGAGGTGATGAAGATTCCTGGTAAACACCACCAACAGCAACAACAACATCAGGCAACAATCAGCATAAATGGAAGGAACCTGAAAGAAACAACCTCCTTCACCTACCTAGGAAGCATCGTTTCAACTACAGGCAGACGGAACTACCGAGGATATCAAAGCGAGGATCGGGAAAACAAGACAAGCTTTCACTACCCTCAAGTCTGTGTGGAGGTCAACAGCACTCAGCATCAAAAATAACATCCGGAATTTCAACTCCAATGTGAAGTCAGTGCTACTCACTATACGGATCAGAGACTTGCACTGCGCGTCACAAAGAGCATCTCAAATGAACTACAGACCTTTATCAACAGTTTTCTTCTCTCAAAACTACTCAAAATCAGATGGCCGGCCAGAAAAGATCAGCAACAGGGATCTCTGGCAATGAGCGAACCAACACAGCAGGAACCGATTGTGAAACAAATAGGCAGGAAGAAATGGAGATGGATTGGCTGGCCATACTCTGAGGAAACAATCCATCAAGTGACATCTCTAGACAAGCCATTGCTCGAGTGGAACCCGAAAGGGAATCGGCGAGTTGGCTGTCAGTGCAAAAGTGGGGTGACTTGGAGGAGGTCATGTGAAGAGGAGATGAAAGCATGTGGGCAGACTTGGAGCCAGGTGAAAACTCTAGCAGAGAACCGAACGCAATGGAGACGCACGGCTGAAGCCCTATGTTCCTCTAGGAATTAAAGGATACAATAATAATAATAATATAGTCATAACGCAATACTGAGCAAATACTGACTAACAGAGTGGTTTCAACATAGAACTACTTTGCACACATGTGCACCACACAAAGCAACAGAACAGACTAAACACAGATTCAAAAGAAAGATAATACACAGAAGTGTGAGGGAGGGAGAAACAACTGTAATATAGAAGAACAAGACAGTCCTGTTGAATGGATATGACAAATTTTACAGAGAGTGAATGCATCTGCGCCATCATCGCAAACGACAACTGTCAGCCATATCATCAATTGTCTGTCTCCACAGCCTTCATTGGTTGTTATCATCCCAAGGACTCCAACAAGCCAACCAGTCGACCAATCTACACTTCCCTGCGTGACTCGCTCAAACTAACTCCTATGGGTTTTATTCATCAATGTAACGTTTTTGTTTGACTACCGGCTAGCTTTGTCCCAACCTGATCAATCCTATGTCAGTCAGCTAACATTGCCCGTTGAGGAAGCCATTGATGGTAAGTTATTAAGTAAGCTGTTATACTTCAGGCTGATTCAGTACAATATTAAACATGAATTAATGGATACATCACTAGCAGCGGGACCTGGTGGAATGACTCCAGAGGTATTTAAGTACGGTGGAGACATTTTACTGTCTGGATTAACTGAGGTCCTAGGCAGCGTCTGGAAAAATCAGAGGAAGTCCCGTCGGGTTGGTGTAAGTCACTGATCATCCCGATATACAGGAAGGGAGACAAGTCTTCATGTGATAATCACAGAGGGATTAGCTTGACTGATATGGTATCTAAAGTCCTAGGCTCAATAATATTGCGTAGACTAAGTGGTGCTCGGGAGGCACAAACACGAGAAAACCAGGCAGGTTTTAGACCAGGAAGAGGATGTATTGATCATATCTTCATCCTTCGACAGATTCTAGAACATAGGCACTCTTACTGGCGTCCGACAATCATTATATTTCTTGACCTAAAGGCGGCATTCGTTTCTGACGACCGAGAGGTGCTCTGGCGATGCTTGGCTGTAAAGGGAATGCCAAGAAAATACATTGCACTGATTAAGGCACTCTACTCGACCTCATGCAGCCAGGTGAGGGCTTACGGCGAGTTGTCATCTGAAGTGGTGACGACTAGTGGTGTCCGTCAAGAGTGCCCATTATCCCCATTTCTATTCAACTTCATCGTAGATGTACTAATGGACTTAACCCTAACTCATTTCAGAGACTCAGGGATTGACTTGCTACCAGCGAATAATCTCCTTGACTTAGAATATGCAGACGATATAGTCCTTCTAGGCGAGGACGCTGACAAAATGCAGAGTCTTCTGAACACCTTCAGCTGCAATCTACGAATGTTTGGCATGCGATTCACTCCCGCCAAATGCAAGATGATGTTGCAGGATTGGACTACACCGACCCCTAGATTAGAAATAGGAAGTGAAGTGGTAGAGCACGTTGACCGCTTCACTTACTTGGGAAGTACCATCAACCCCAACGGGTTGATCTCTGACGAAATCTCAGCACGAATAGAGAGGGCTAGTTTCGCATATGCCAGTTTACACCGTCTCTGGCGTAGACGTGATATCCGACTATCGACCAAAGGGCGTGTATACTGCCCAACAGTTCGCTCCGTCCTCCTTTATGGCTAGCTGTGAGACCTGGCCATTGAGAGTGGAAGATATGAAAAGATTAGCTTTCTTTGACCATAGGTGTCTGCGTTCTATATCCCGTGTGAAGTGGTATAATAAGGTGAACAGTTAGTCTAAGCCACGTAGGAAGGTGTAAACTTCCTGGTTGGGGTCCTCGCGACGGTAAAAACCAATGGTTGGAAACAATTGGTGACATGGCTCAAAATCGTTCTCAATGGCTGTCACAGATGCATCCACTCCTTGTGACTTATGATTTCCAATGAAACTGTTTTGTTCTTCGTTATTACTATTCCTTTGTCTCACACCTCTGTTTACTGTCAATATTATGTATCTCTCCTACTTTCTTCTCTTGCTTTGTGTGCTACAAGGAGGGAGTGTGGCGACTTGAACTGGCGCACATATGTGCAAAGTTCTATGTCGAAAACAGACAGAGAGACAGACATTACTAAGACCATATGTTTAGCCGATAAACAAGCAATTTGCGCCAGCTAGTAATCAACGCAAGTTTTTAATCTATATCGAATAAACAGATTTGAAACCACATCACAATCAACGATATAATCGGAGATGACAGTATTAGACTGAGTCCACAGAGAAATACTGTTGATTCATATGAGGGTGATAAATATCACTGAGCAAGTTTTATTGACTTCTTATGCCATGCCGTAAAGTTGATATAGAGATTTTTCTCAACAACTCATAAAACATAATTACGGAAGAAGAGACGACGGTAGTTATTCACCAATTGTCACCGTGTGAGCATACATAAAACGCAGTATCATCCTGACATTCAAGATCATATAACGTTTTCTAGTAAAGTGACAGATCCACACACTGCCGGATAAACCCTACAAAAGGATCTCCAATATATTGTCCAATAAGTGTTATAAAAGAATGCAAAAACTATGCAACGATAAGATAACATACAAAAAGCACACTGACACTGTAAAATCAGATACACTTACTTGGGAATATTTGACATTGGTGGTGCTCTAGATAACGGACCCTGTAGGCTGGGGGATTGAGGATCTGAACCAGTTGGCCGAAATTTATCCGACATTGTAAAGGTATTCATTCGACGAACGCTTAACTGATCACCAGGTGATTCAGTAATTTCGGAATTCTCATCTATTTTCTCTTGTCCACGATTATCTACATTGATATCATTGCCACGATCACGTAAATCTGATACGCGTATACGTGGAAGGAGACGAGATCTGAAGAAGATGAAAATCAAGAAGATAATAAAAAAAACTAGGGTTCTACAAAATTGTTTGAAGTTCAACACTAGACTACACACCACACAAAAATCAATAAAAAGAAAACTCAACATTCACAAATGGTTTATATCCAACCTCTTTTAATGTCAATTTTCTTTTCATAATTTGTTGGCGTAGTTAAACTCTATGCGATTTTTATTTGTGACGTATATACTTCCAAATTTTTGTGTTCTTGTTTTCTATCATCAATTATCTTCAGACAACACTACTATGCATCATTTAATTAATTAGTTGTACATTTTCTCAATTATATACAATGATTACTTTTGGCACAGTGCTATTTCTTATGCACTTAGATTTACGCTTGTTACAAATTGTGATAATAACTTCTTACCTTTGTTGGTAGATTACAAATGTTGAATTGTACAGATTTAATTGATTATAGGTTTGTTCACGAGCTGACATCAGTGACAGAACCATTGGAGGGGAATCTGAGACTACTTACTGGACAGCTGTTTCGCTCTAGTTTGGGACTCTCTTCAGAAGAACACAACCCAGTGCCTTCCAGTCACAACAGGTGGGCTCATAGAGACCATTCAGTTACTTGGGGCCTAATGCAATGGTGCATGAATCCTAACCCTCCGCCAATCTCATTGGCGAGTAACTGTTCTCTTACCTGACTTTATTATTTTATAATTATTGTTCCCTTGGGTTCCAAGTGGAACATAGGGCTTCAACTACACTTCTCCACTTGTTTCTGTCTTCTGCTGTACTTTTCACTTGCATCCATGTTAGTCCATACTGTTTCAACTCCTCTTCACACGATCTCCTCCATGTCACCCTTGGACGTCCCATTCGCCGCTTCCCTTTCGGGTTCCACTCGAGCTATGGCATGACGCGCGATGTCACCCAACGACCTCCTCAGAGAGTGTCCAATCCATCTTCACTTTCTACTGCATATTTGATGGGCGATTGATTCTTGTTTTGTTCGTTCCCATAGTCTCTTGCTGGTGATTCTTTCCAGCCATTTGATCTTCAGTATAGAACGAAGACAGTTGTTGATAAAGTTCTGCAACAGGCTGTTGGAAATATTCTTTGTGACCCGCTAAGTTTCTGGTCTGTATAGAAGAACTGACTTGACGTTTGTATTGAAAATCCGAATTTTGTTGTTGATGCTGAGTGATGAAGATTTCCAGATTGGTTTCAGGTTCTAGAAGCTCTCAAAACCAAATTAACTTATCATCAGGAATAATGCAGTGACTTTCATGGCTCAAAACAAATCCTCTTATAAAAATTTAGAATGGTGTATAACAACAGGATAACCAAAAGAAGAGAAAGAAGGAGTTGAGACGATGGAGATGAGTACATGAACACCACCACCACCACCACCACCACTACCATCACCAAATAGTAATGGTCAACACTTTCGTACAATTGTTAGTATTATTACGAAAAGAAAGTCAACTCACTTTTCGTCTACACTTGATTTCTCTTGTCTATTTGATGCAGGACCGGCACTAGCGCTAAGAAAAAGCACAAAGAATAAAATAAAAAATAAAACAAATCAGAAAGAAGCTTAAAGAAAAGAAGACATGAATGCCAAACAAACAAAGTCTTAAAAAAAGATGCTAATCAGTTAGACAGGCGGATTATACGAAGAAAGGATAGCTACACAAAAACATGAAATAAAACTACTGCCTCCTCATGAAAAAGAAAACAACAAGAGCAGTTATATTAGATAAAACTAACAGTATCCTGTCTCATTATGGGTTGTATTATAACCCAGTTGTTGAATGCATACAGCTGAGTGGATGCACAATACTTTAATGCTCAATAAAAGTAATGTAGACAACCGTTCGCGTCATAGATAACATATAATCTTTATAATAATTTTGAATGTGAGGTGACATTGGTTAGAGGTTAGAGAACCACTGGAAAACCTGGGAGTACTGGCCAGCTGTTTCGTCCTAGTTTGGGACTCTTCATCAGTACGCACCCGCCAGGGTTCGAACCATGGACCTTCTAGGCCATTGGATCGGGTCCCAGTGGCTTAATGGTATGCGAGCTCGCCTTGTAACCAGAAGGTCCTGGGTTCGAACCCCGGTGGGTGCGTACTGATGAAGAGTCTCAAATTAGGACGAAACAGATGTCCAGTACTCCCAGGTTTCCCAATGGTTCTCTAACCAACGTCAGCTCATGGTGAAATCCTGTAACCAATCAGCCAAATACCTACAAACCAATACTTGAATTTTGAATGTATAAAAAAATACACCTAACATTAGGGACAACTATAAAGGAAATGCTATGGAATATGATGAGTGCATAGGAACATTTTTTGATTTACTACATCCACAGCTTCTAATCAATTGTAAAATACCTCTTCGTTGCCTAGCATTACTTAGCATAGCTTGTTGAGATTCCCCGATGAGTTTGAACAGACAAGAAATATGTACAGCCTACAAAATAGGCAGGATGAAGTGAAGAAAACAAGTAGACGTGAACTAAGACGTCAAACTAACTTAATTTGTACTGACCACACCATTGGAATGGAATAAAAGATTTCCTTAAGATCCAATGCTAACAAGTACTAAATAACTCTTTTTCTTTTTTCGAGTTTAAAACTCTTCTGACAGACTGGTTTCAACATAGAACTAGTTTGCACAGATGTGCACCCGCTCAACTCGACACACTCCCTCACTGTACCACACAAACCAACAGAGCAAACTAAACACAGATTCAAAAGAGAGATAATAAACACAAGTGTGAGTGAGAGGAAAAATAGTAATATGGAAGAACAATGGACTTTTAATGGATATGACAAATCACTCATAAAGAGTGATGAATGCATCTATGTCATCATCGAGGACGAGGATTTCCAGCCATTGTCACCAATTGTCTGTCTCCAGCCACCATTGGTTCTTACCATCCCAAGGACCCCAACAAGCCACTTAGCCAGCCATCCAGTCTACACCTCCTTACATGGCTGACTGGTTAACTGGCTCAAAGTAACTGCTATGGATTTCATCGACTGAAGAAGGTATCCTTTCGTTTGACCACCAACTACTAGCAGCTCCTTTCCAGCCTGATCCATCCTATGTCACTGCCCATCGTCGAGGAAGGCGATCGATCGATGGCTAGGCATGCGCGCGTAACACCTGTCCTAGCCATCTCATTCAATCGATGCAGCTGCTTCACAACCTCATCCGGTTGATTTCCCACTCTTTACCTAATACTCAACCGAAGCCTAATCACCTCAATACTACTCACCCTATTATGTCAGTGAGCATAGTCCTTCATGAAAAAAATAAATAAATAAAGACAAGGATCGCGCTGACTGTTGGGCGTAGGTCATCAACCACCCAAAGAATCAGACGATAGAATGACTGATTTTCGTCAGCTTAAATTCAAATACATTTCGAATGTTTGCATTTTCACGAAAATATATACACAGATTAATTAAAAAATATATATTAAATCATTTAGAGAGCGAGAGAGAAAGAGTGAGAAAAAAAAGAGAACATTCTTAGCATATTTCTTTCTACTTGCACAGATAGATAAGCAAGAGGTGGATCATGTGATAATTTTAGGCGATAAACACTGCACATTTCATCTAATTTATGTATTTATATAATTCAGTCCAATCTAGTCTACAGATTAGTAAATAAACTGTACGAGAATAACGGTAAAGTCAAAACAAAAAAATTGGAAACAAATATACAGAGAGGTAGTTATCAATAACAACAACAACAGGAACAATTTGCACCTCTGTATCGATGTCCTGAGGCTTCATTTTCACAAGTTGAACACATACATGCATATATATATATATATATATTGCATGGAGGATTTCATCATGAGCTGACATCAGTTAGAGAACCACTGGAAAACCTGGGAGTACTGGACAGCTGTTTCGTCCTCGTTTGGGACTCTTCATCAGTACGTGCCCACCGGGATTCGAACCCAGGACCTTCTGGTTACAAGCCGTGACCAGTAGGGTACAGCAGGTTGAAGATGAGGCAGTAACTCATCTAAGAAGACATTGCGAAATGGTCGCGCTATGTCGTGAATTGGCAGAAGTTAGAATTCAAGGACCATTGGATCGGGTCCCAGTGGCTCAATGGTCTGCGAGCTCGCCTTGTAACCAGAAGGTCCTGGGTTGGAATCCCGGTGGGCGCGTACTGCTGAAGAGTCCCAAACTAGGACGAAACAGCTGTCAAGTACTCCCAGGTTTTCCAGTGGTTCTCTAACTGATGTCAGCTCATGATGAAATCCTCCATGCAATTAAACAAAATCCCTACCAAACCAATACTTGACTATATATATATATATATATATATATATATATATATATACGTAGAACACACGAAAATACATACTCATAGTAAGTGGGTTGGTTGATTTTAAGAGTCAGGCAAAAAAGTAAGCTAATTATGTATGTATGTAAGCGTGTTTAATGGTGATTTATGCATATGACGTAATACTTCTCTCCTTAAACACTCAGACCATCTCTCTATATATATACACTGACTGAAATACATAACATGCATGTATGCGCATACAAGTAGTGTTTTAATCCGACTCTTATATCAAAATAGCGTTAGAGTCCTTATGTGTTTACAAGTGAGAAGAAGAAATAGTACATTCGATATATACGGTGAACAACACTGACAACAGCACAGAAGTAAGCCTATGTGAATAATAATAATAATAATAAATCACTTGACCATAATTGAATAAATTATGTTAGGATGGAAAAAAAGAGGCAGAAGGAAAGAAAATAAACACATGATGAAAGTAAATCATCATCAACAATAACAACAACAACAAAATACCGACAACTGTAAATAAAGATCACTGATAAAAAAAGGGAATAACAATTCAGAGTTATTGAAGTAATATGTAATAATAATAGTGACTGAAGGTAGGTATGCAAATTTTCAGTAATCAATTCAGACTACCCTACCCTACTACTAATACTTACATCAACAACAACAACAACAACCAGGACGATTATAAAGTTCAAATTAACAGGCAGACACTGCACATCAACTAGTACCTCATGTATTCATTCGATCGATCAGAAATCATTACGTCAAACAGGAATAGGACTCAATGCCTCGCAGTGTGATAGCTGCTCGAGCACTTACGTCTCCCCGACAAAACATTAATTCGTCTACAAACGATTTAGTATCCTCACGCTTATACCACAATTAGATATCGAGTAAACCCCTACACCCCAAAATCCAGAGCATAGTTTATGGTCATCGCTCTGGCATAACACCAGACCTAATGGACACCTAGCCGAACACATGGTCCAGTCCAGACACCAAAAGGAATACGTAAGCTTGCCCAGCCACGTGTCGGATACGGAATGTACCGTTGCAAATATGGACGGGATTCAGACACAAGAAGGTTGGTGCTTTACGGAGGCTAGCCCCCTATCTCCGGAAAAGCCGATTCCAGGGGGTGGATGCACTCCTAACAGAGAAAAGAGAAAACTCTTCCAAGAACTCCCGCGGACGTCTCCGAGTTCGGTTGCGTTACTGCACTGGGCACACACTGAATCAAAGATCCAACATGCACCAATCTCCATGGACAGAGTCTGGAATATTAACCCGATTTCCTTTCGCTACAGGGGGCTGCGTTGTAACAGTACAATTTATCAGCAATACTAACAAAACCCGCAAGCGGACAATGTCAAGGACCCCGTCTCTGTTTCCGATTTACCGGATCACTTAGGACCGCCTGACCCGTGGCCAACTGCTGTTCCCATCGAACCCTTCTCCACTTCAGCCTCTAAGGTTCTGAGAAATCTCCCATTCGACTTTGAAGATTATAATGATTTATTTATATGGCACCAAGAACAATAAAATAATAAAGATTAAAAGTAAAAATATAGGTGAAGAACGGATAAATAACTTCATCTGGAAGGAAAACAGTCACATTTAACAAGTTCAAACATCATTCATCAATTATCGTCGGGAAGGGAAGAAAGAAGGGAATTGCAGCATGTTCACCGTTGATTGCAATTCTTGGACATATCCAATAATGTTTCGAGCCATCAATTTGAGCTATCTATCGGACTCCAACCAGGGAGACGTGACGCACTAACCGACGCTAACCCATCACAAATATCCTTCATACTACGACGCTACGTCATGAGCTGACCACCTCTCCGGTTTTTCCATCCCGTCCCAGGGCTAGCAAACAGAGACCTTCACAGAAGAATAACATTCGCAGCACATGTCCCAGCTACCAAAGCCGATGTTTCCACATGATGAGCTCCACTGTGTCCAAACACATGCTGCCAAACCTCAGAATTACTCATGCGATGATGTCATCGAACACAAGCAATCCTGCGGAGACAGCGATGATCAAATACGCAACGCTGCCGCACATCCTCAGCGCGGAGAGGTCATGCTTCACAGGTGTAGAGCAAGACAGCACCCACCGAAGCATTGTATACCCGACCTTTGGCAGCCAGGCTACCTACTCTACAATGAACAGACAAGACTTACTCACATATACTTCAACTATCTAGAAAGGCTTACACAAGCAAGCACTGATCCTTTAATGACTACTTTTCGTTATCTGATGTTGTTTTTTCTTCGCAATTCCATATCATCCCGATTCCGTTAGAAAAAAAGGCATACGTAGAAGATAGGGGTACTACATAAGCCAACTATTGAGATTAACAGTGAAAACAACAATAGTGAGTTAAAAGTTTGAATTCTTCTCCGCTTGTTTCATTCTGCCAACCGGAATCGACTTTTTTTCTTCTTGCCTATGACACACAACACATTCACTTCAACTTACATGGAAAAACATTGAATGAGACAAGTAAAACGCAATAAAAAACATGCGCAGATACTAACTAGCTAATCGATGCAGAAAATCTGCTGTCACGTGACCGACCGACCGATCGACCACTAACGAATTCTGTTTATAAATGTTATTATTCTTTGGAAGAGGATGCGAGGGGGAGGGGAAGGTAATCGAACTTCAGGGAAGCATATTTCATATCATCGATAGAGTGAAAAAAAAGTAGAAGAAAAGCCAGGTTTCATATACACGTTATGCAATAACTCTATATACTGTATGCCGATGAAAATAACGAGGAAACTTATAGAACGAAAGGAGGCATTTTAAAGAAGAAATACAGTAACAATAATCCAATGGTGTGTGCGTCAGTGGCACAGCGGTTAGGAGGCTCGCCGACCATGAACATGGTCCGGGGTTTGATCCTCGGCCGACGCACTCCTTTACCTCGCTAAGCCAGCAATAAAGCTGGTCAAGAGGAAAGATTGGGCATGAGGCTAGCAACCACATCCTGTAAAAATAAACGTTGCTACAGAAACTTCAAGCCTCTAGCTTGAAGCCCGATGTTCCACTGGGAACGTGAAGGAATAAAAAAAAATCCAATGGTATGAAGCACAATATTAATGTATGTGCAGATACACGTATTCATCTTTCCCGACGTTGAGATTATGAAAACTTTACTAGTTTCGGCGTAGATTCTGACCCAATTCAACATCATTCATGGAATGGGAATGCCTTCATGCAGTATTTTGATGGTTTAATGTCTGACACCTTCACGAGGTCGAGTGGCTGAGTAATGTTGATGAAATTGAAGTACATCAAGACAACTGCTGCTCAATACTTCTCTAATTGGTTTTCATTAATGATGACAAAACATACCTTTGTAGGCGAATAAAGGGGAGACTTGCGTCTCAAACTAATTAGGCTCGATCAAATCGACGACAAAAAACAATGTGAATCACAAATAGTGAGATACACAATCCTAGGCATAATAACCAGAGGTAGATTATGCTACTGTGTCATGACCTTACACCACCAACTGAAATAAGTATATACATGTATATATATATATATATATATATATGAAATGTGTGAATACTAACCTTTGCTTCAGCCAAGAGATCCCACTTGTACGCCTAACTCCATTGTACTGAGATGTATTGTCTTGACCGGATTCTTCTGAAATTAATAATAATATAGTAATAATAATTTGCTTTATTCCAAAACAGTACTTGTGATACGGAATGGAATTCTCAGCATTTTTACTACAGTATTGCATCCAGTTAGTACATTATCAATAAACAGAAATTCTACATAGATTAAGGAAATCTCAGTTCATTATGACAACAACATATTGGCATGTCGGTAGTAAAGCCAAAGTTGAACAGTGTTTGAAGATGTTAGAAAAAGAGATGCTATCATATTTACTGGTGTAAGCGAGAGAAACAAACAAAGCAGCACATAACGGAAAAGAGAGAGGGAGAGAAAAGGAAAAGAAAGAAAGAAAATGTTGCACCTATAAATGATATGAGTTGGAAAGACGAAGTCCAGTTGTTCTACTGACTATTTAATGAACTATAGGTGTCACGCCTAATGTTTTCTTTATCGCATAGAACACGAGCTAAGTAGGTTATGGTTGAGTATCAATGGCGTATATTGATAATTCAAAAAACACATCATGATTATTTCAAAAAGAAATATACTGGGAATAAATTGAGTTAAGCAATTCCTGTAGGAAGATCCTCACTAAAAGGGAATTGTTACACCAATGGAGAAAAAAAAATAAAACCAGAAATATGAATATTCAGCAATGATGATGACATTGGCAACACAATCAGGTTATCTAATTATAGCAGGTAGAGTCTGTATTACACTGACAACAGGTGATCAGATGACCAATGCCATTAGTACAATTTCAAAACATCATCATTTTCACACAGATATGCCCTGAAGAACAACCATAAATACCATGCCGTGGAATGATAGATGTTACAAAAACATGAATCATCGTTACAGGATTTTCATCATGAGCTGACATTAGTTAGAAAACCATTGGAAAACCTGGGAGCACTGGACAGCTGTTTCGTCCCGGTTTGGGAATCTTCATCAGTACGCACCCGCAGGGATTCGTACCCAGGACCTTCTGGTTACAAGGCGAGCTCGTATACCATTAAGCCACTGGGAACCGATCGAATGGGTCAAACTAGGACGAAACAGCTGTCCAGTACTCCCAGTTGGTTTTCCAATGGTTCTCTAACTAATGTCAGCTCATGATGAAAATCCTGTAACCAATCAAATCCCTACAAACCAACACTTGAATATGAGTCATCGTATTTCGAACCCATTTACTGAATGCTAGACATTAGCTTGACACAACGCTTAATACATGGTGTTTTCTTCTCTTTTTTTTATTACCTCTCTCACCAACAGACTTACACTACCAGAATGCGCTTTGATAATAAATATATGGGACAGTTTACCCTTGAAGTCGAGAATCTCATTCATCTCTACAAGAATTATTAGTAAGTAAGTAAGTCGAGGATTTCAGCTGATTAAAATTCAATCCCCACCAACAAAGAAAATATACCACCCGAGAATTCTTGGACATGAGATTTTCACTTTTGATTCGGTTGAAAAAGAAGGAGAAAGGCTTTACCGATGTTCTAATCGATGGATGCTGGGATGGGTGGGTGAGAAAACCATCAGAAATACACATACACATGCACACGCAGACAGGTGGTTCAAGATGAAATGCGCTATTTTTAAAATTCCTCTACTCACCACCAGTAGTAATTAGATAGCATAAAGCTGTAAGCCATGTGATCAGTTTTCATCAACTATTGAGAAATATGAATCCCAATTTTGTTGGAGAGATAAAGGCGTATGCATTTCACTTATTTACCTAGATAGATCAGATATTCAGAACAAAATATTTAGAGAGAACAATTGTTTTCAATAAATTCTTCTTCAGGCTCTACAATTATAAATCCATTAATTTAAGCATACAATAGGAGCTCGACTGCGTCTTCTATCAGTAGCTGAAGCGGTGGCAATTAGTACCAGAAGACCATCTCTTTGCATACAGAAGAAGTATGTCCAACCACTATGTTTACCTTGGCCTACAATAAAGCCAACAAATCCTCCGTTAACACTATAAATTTCTCTCGCAATTTTTTTCTTTTCTTCTTCTTCTATTCCTCTGTTTCATTGACAATCGTTCATTTTCGACTTTTATGATTTCATGACCTTTCTTATGATTTTATTACCTTAGGTTTAAGTAGTGCTTTTCTAACTTGCTATCGTATTTACAAAATCCTGTTCATTCCACTTCATTATATTCATTATTATTATTTAACAATCATTCACCAATAGTCCTTGTAATTTTACACCATATCATCGTTATTATTATTTTACAATCATTCTTACTGTCGTTATTTTCAACCTTGAACTTATGTCTAGTCCGCCCCATTCGTTGGTTTATTTTCATATTGTCTCACACACCCTGATTACACACACACTCTCGAAACGTGTATTTTCTGTTGACTATATTTATATGTATATACACACATCATTAAATTAAATTACTTCATTTCATTTTATCTCATGTTCTCATTGACCATGCATATTAAAAAAACTATCTGACTATTGTTCCATCCCATCTTATACTTGTTCCACAATACACTTTCTGATATGATTCTAATTTGCCTTTACTGGCTGGCTATTGTATGCTAAAATTAATCGATTTATAATTGTAGAGCCTGAAGAAGGAAGAATTTATTGAAAGCATAATTATTCGCTCTAACTATTTTTGTTCTGAATAAATTATGGGAATATATTCAATTTATATCAGATATCATAATAATAAGTCCTTCACATTATCATCAAACAGAAATAATAAAATAATTAATAATCGACTACTAGATAAACACTGTAAATGTTTACTTCATGAACTTTTCAAAAAAGGTTGACACTGATGTTGATGACGATCATACAGGAGAAGAAGAAGAAGACGACGACGAAGATAATGACGACGAACAAGGAAGAGAAGATGATGTAAATACACATGAAAAACTTGTAGACACACACATCAGTGTAATAAAAAGGAAATGATAAGGGACAATGAAGTGCATAGTAATAAAAATGATACATATATAATACGTATCAGTGATAACATTATCCCAAATATTTACATTCAATACATCTCTAATATACAGTAGTTGTAATAGTAATAATAATAATAGTATACTAAGTAATAGGAGATAATGAAACATTACTTCGATGGCATTTTATTATTAATGTAAATAGAACATGGACATATAAGCAAAACACCATAAATTATCAGAATATTATGAAATCTTTGTATACACTCAAGATGCACATACACCCTATAAACACACACACACTCTATCCCTATAAATATATAGCACTAGATAATATATACTTATTAAAGTTACTACCCTGCGCAAGGATGACACGCAAAATCGTGAAGCGTTCCATATTTTTTGTGCGTCGGTGGTATAGCGGTTAGGAGGCTCGCCGAACATGTACATGGTCCGGGGTTCGATCCACGGCACACGCTCTCTCTCCTTTACCTCGCTAAGCCAGAACTAATGCCGGTGAAGAGGAAAGGTTGGGCATGAGGCTAGCAACCCCATCCTGTAAAAATAATCACCACTACTACAGAAACTTCAAGCCACTAGCTTGAAGCCCTATGTTCCACTGGGGAACGTGAAGGAAAAAAAAGTTACTATGTGGTAGTAAATCTCACGAAACAAAAGTCGAAGCCTCCTTTCTGCGACTTTTGAAACTCGCACACACACACACACATACACATACAACATACATTGATCAATACTTGTTTCGTAGGCATGAGAAAAACAAATTGTATACAAGGTTCTACTCTTGTTGATAATAATAATAATAATAATAATAGAGTTGAAAATGAAAAGCATGTTTAAGAGAGGCAAAATTTGGAATCAATAATATATATATATATATATATATATATATATACTACAAAAGGATTATAAAGACATCAGAATGTATAAAAACCTTTGTTAATGTGAACAATAAAATTCTATTTTTCTTCTGTTTAAACTCATTGTTATTTCTTTAAAAAAATAAATAAATAAATAAAGTAGCAAAAGACAAATAACTATCCAGTCTTGTAAAATCGTAAAAAGTTATCGATCGAAAAACTGATCGACAAATATCAATAGATAGGAAGGTATGTAGGTAAAAAGTTACGAGACGATATCATAAGTAATTATAATAGTAATACTAAGCTTTTGAATAGATGTAAGAAACGAACAAGAATATATGTGTAGAAAGTTAGTTGTGCCGTTTTATTTAATCACTAGGAATTTGTCTGTGATAAAGCTGTGAATCTCTACATTCCTCAAACAAAACAGTTTAACGGTTACTTGCTAAGTAGTAGTATGATTTAGAGAGAAAGCTGTACTTGACACTATCCTTGTATTTATTCTCTAGTGTCAGTAAATCACGTTAGAAAAAATTTTTTTTGATTTTCAAGTGTTAGTTTGTAGGGATTTGATTGGTTACAGGATTTCATCATGAGCTGGCATCAGTTAGAGAACCATTGGAAAACCTGGGAGCATTGGACAGCTGTTTCGTCATAGTTTGGGACTCTTCAGCAGTACACACACACCACTACTGTTCGAACCCAGGACCTTCTGGTTACAAGGCGAGCTCGTATACCATTAAGCCACTGGGACCCGATCCAATGGTCCATGAATTCTAACTTCTGCCACTTCACGACATAGCGCGACCCCTAGCGCGAGTGTTTAATATCCCCATAAAACTTTCTAGGCGTCGATGGCACAGCGGCAAAATACTCGCCAACCACAGACACACTCCTTCCTCTACCTCGCTAAGCCGGTAAATAAGACCGGTAAAGGAAGAGGGTGTTGGGCATGAGGCTAGCAACCACCTCATCCCGTAAAAATAAACACCACTGCTACGGAAACTTTAAAGCTGTAGCTTGAAGCTTAATGTTCTACTGGGAAAGTAAGAAATTATATAATAATAATAATAGCATATCCCAAAGTGGTTAGAAAAACAGATGAATTGTGACAAGCCCATAGATACAGGTGTCAGACTACCAACTTCGTCTATAGCTAAACATTTAATCGAGATGAACCATAAGGTTGATGTTAACT